TGTTTTTTCTGCCATGACCTGAGGCAGTTCAACTTGGGAATTTGTTGATTTGGGGAGGAAGGGTGGGTAGGAGCATCTTTGATTCTACTTCAAAATGCCCTGTGGTTAGAAAATCTCCCAGAGGGATTTAGTTCAGCGGTAGAGTGCTTGCCTAGCACCAGAGAAGGAGGGATTGCAAGCAAGTCTCTCTCTCTCTCATTCCCCATCCTGCTGAGAGGTGGGGTTCTCACACTGTCAATACCCTGCCCCTTTCCTGTGCCCCAGTTTTTCCCCATTCACTGTTCCCCAGAGTACTGCTACCCTGCTTCACCACACACGGGCTGAATTTGCCTCCTGCCGCTTTTCTGAGGCTTGCTAAGCCCATTATCCTGTGAGGGGACTATCCTGCCACTTTGTGGAGCCTCTTCTTTCATAGTCCTGCTGCAGGGAGCCCTCCAGTCCTCCCAGCACAGCCTTGTATCTAAAATGGGTTCCAAATGGTCCTGCTGGGGGGTTTCCAGGTCTGGAGGTCCTCTGTGGGGAGCCCCATCTCCATGGTCCTGGAGCTGGCATCCCAACATTGCCACAGTTCAGTCGCTGAAACTTCCAGACCCTCTGAAGCTCATTTCCTACTCCGTGTCTGAGGCAGAGGAGATATAGCCTGGCTTGCTCTTTCCAGTTGTCTGCATCTAGAGCTATGTGCCCTTGGGGACTTGGCTGGAGCTCCCTGCTGTGTCCCTAGACTAGATCTGGTGACAGAAGCATCAGCCAGTCCTCAGCCCTGGCCTGTGTCTCCACCACACCACACCTTTCTCAACTTCATTACCCTTCACTAAGATACTAAAGCCATCTGGGGGTATTCAGTCATCCTTGCCATTCCCTGAGGCAATGGAGGGCCAGAGATGATGGCACAAGCCCTCTCCTTCTCCTTCCTCTGCCTGCTACTCCAACATGTGTATATCTTTTGCAGAGGGCCCATGACCCTGTTTTGGACTTCCTCTGCCTACCTGCTTGCTTTTTTTCAAGAGCAGGCAGGTGCATGTTCTAAAAGTGACCAGTTGGACATAGATACTGCTGCCCCCAGACCCCAAGGAATTGCGAGTTTCTTCTTGTGTTCCTTTGAGGTAGAGAGAGCTGACAGTGCCATGTGTTTTGAGGTCTAAAGGCTTGCCTGCCTTCTATGTGGCATGAAGGCGGCCATCTACAAGATTAAGTGAGTCCTGCTTTGTCCTGAAAAGGCCTTTCCTTAGTGCAGAGGGTTGAATTTGTCACAGGCCATTTATTGCAGCCTCTAGCCTCCATTAGTCAGCTGATGTGGCAGCAAGGAGGAATGGCTGCACAGCCAAGACAGATGGCGCTGGAACCAGCCAAGGTGTGATTCAACACAGTCCCCAAATGCGTTTCCTGCTCATTTTGTCCCCCTCCATTTCTCCTGAAGCTAGCAACCAGGTCGTTGAATTCAGACTGAAGAGTAAGCCAGTCTAGCCAGGGTTATGCTAGCTCAGCCTTCCCCATAGACCCCTGCCCTGCCAGTGGACTCCACAGAGGGCAGATGGGAAATGAGAACAGTGGCCCTAGCTGTCCAGCCATGCCCAGGACAGCAGGTCTCAGAAACATCTCTTTGTCCCACCTCGGTACAATGCCCTGTCCTAAACTTGCCATACATGACCTGACCAACCTACCTCAGTGACTCTCCCTACCGTGTGGGCTCCAGGCTACTCTGTCCTCCAGGATGAGCAGGCTCTGAGTAGGCTACCTGGGATCAGCCCTGACTTCTGGAGTCAGGAGCAATGTGAGGGCTCGGGGCTCAGCAGTTTCTCAAACTCTACTGCCCTAACCCTTAGTATATCAGAACATAGTTCTGTTTGGAAATGGGGCTGTTGCAGAGGTGACTAGGGTAAACTGAGGTCACCAGGGCAAGGCAACTCCAACACGACTCTGTCCTCATGAAGGAGACTGGATGGCTCTGTAGGGACGGGGAGAGGGTGCCACCTGCAAGCCAAGGACTGCATGAAGTGGGTGGCACTACATTCCATGATCTTAGAGCGCCAGTTCCAGATGTAACCTCTGTTTGAGGCGCTTGTCTGTCACCTGTCCCATGTGTTTGTCCCTCTGGAGTCCCTGATGGCTTCCTGTTGTCATGAAGTCTGTCTTGGTTCTGTGATTGAATATACTGGGTCCCTCCCGAATCCTACTTTAACAGCAGGCAGCAAGGACAGCTACATAGGCCCCGGATGGAGGAATGGGTGAGTGGAGTAGAAGATGGACACTGCGGCCCCCTGTGGCCACCATAAGGGCAGTGGTTCTATGGCAAGCTTGCCTTGCTTTCTGGTGTGGATCTGAGGTCAAGCTTAGCTCTTGCTGTGGTTGGGCCTGCACTCACCCCCAGTGCCCTTTGCTGTGACGTAGGAAGTGGTGGCATGTTATAGAGTTAGGCCCTCTGGTCTCACAGTGCTGTTCACAGAAGGGCTGGGTGGTTTAAAGAGCCTCTGTTACCCTCGGAGAGGGTCCTGAAAGCCATAGCTTGGTCTCACCCAGCTCCCGGCCTCTGTGTGGTGTATGATCCTCCTGCTTCCCTTGGCATGGCCAGTTCCCATGAGCTACTGCAGCCAAAGCAGAGCCTTGCGGAGCTGGCATCATGACATTTTCAAAGCTGTGAGCTAAATAAACCTCTTTTCAAAATGGATGAGCACAACTCTCCAGAGGCTACCGAGCCTGTCCCAGATGCCCTGGACAGTGTGTGTGTGTGTCTGATTTATAGCCTTAGGTGTCCCAGTTAGCTGCTGCCTTGGAACAAATTGTCCTGTGGTTTCACCAAGGAGGGCCTCTTGTCATCCACACGGTCTCTGAACAGAGACCCCCAAGTGGGCTGGTCTATGCTGTGATGCCCATTTGGATGGCACTGCTGGTGCTGGTGAAGGCATTATGGATTCCACCATTTGCCTGCAATGTCCTGCTGTTCTCAGAAGGCTTCAGGTGTGACTTCTTCGGGTGACACCAAAGACCCTAAGGTCCTATTGTTCTTTCTGACCACTGGCTTTCCTCCCAGCTTGTGGTTTATGAGTAGAACTCAGCTTTCTGGGTCCAACTTATCCTCGGCATTGCCCTGTTCATTTGCATGCAGGTGTACTAGGCCCCTCCTTTTCTCCCCTGGCAGGGGACTTCCTGAGGGCAGGGCCTCGGTCATCAAATGCTAGGTATATGGTCAGTGTCTGGAGATCACCAGTAGAGAATTTTAACTCAGAACATGGCTGCTCTGGAAAGAGGTCCCATCCAAAGACCTTCTAAATCTGTATAATCCAGCTGGAATACAAAGACACCTTTAATCCAGGAGGCAGAGGCAAACAGGGCTGAGTTCAAGGCCAGCCTGATATAGAACGAATTTCAGGTAAAGAAAAGCTTAGTTCTAGGCATGGTGGTGCACGCCTTTAACCCCAAACAGTGAAGGTAAACATAGTTTGTAGAAGGAAGCAGCCATGTTTTAAAGTGATATCGAATTCAGTGTCAGAAAAAGTGATACATTAGAGAACGATTTAACAGAATAGGATACACCCAACTCTCACAAGAAGAGAGAGGAAAGGGAAGCTACTTAAGGGAGCAACACAGAATGAAAAGGAAAGGAGGAAGTTTTAGCGGGATAGTAATAGAGAGACAGGTTGCAGAGAAAGAACTCAGGGCAAGACAGAATGAGCCAGAGAATGAGAAGGAGCCAGATTGGAAAAGATTGCTGGAGTTAGTTTGAGGCCAAGCAGAGCAATTTGGGGCCCAAGAGAGGAGCCAGATTGAATAAGTTAGCTGAGAGGAGTTTGAGCCAGAATAACTGAGTTGAACCAACCAGCCCAGAGCTCAGTAAGAACAAAGGGTGAGCTTATTAATAGTAAGTCCTAGAGGCTGAAAACATTCTAGGCTTTGGTTAGATGGTACAGAGGCTAGAAGCTTCTAGGACTAGGCCTAGGTTAGCAGACAAGAGGCGGTAAGCCTCCGAGACAAAAGAAACAGGTGAATAAAAACTCCTTTTGTAGCAGATGACAAATGTCTGGCTAAGGCTTCCAGATACAGTACAGATTCCCTACTATAAAGGACCCCCAAACCTGACTGATACAGGGTATCTGTAACATACAACATCTCAGATGAAGCACCGAGGGAGACCCAGAGAATTTCCTTACATTGTGAACTACAACCTAGCTCTGTATGGAACTGAGCTGCAGGCTCATCCGTGTTCCTGTGACCGGTGGCTATCACAGCAACCAGTCAGGCTACCACCACATTGGTTTAAGACCTCGCAAGGCCACCCAGTTTTGCTTGGAGAAACTGCTGCCACAGCACCAGGTATTGTTCTCTGTGTCCCTGGCTCAGAGATCTAACTAATTCCATTGTTCTTTACCTGTTTCATATGGGCCACACAGAGCTGCTTCTCTATCAGTGGCCACATGGCCTGTTGGCTTAGATCATGGCTCCATAGTACATGGCTCTCACACCATCCTCCTGAGATAATCTGGCCCAGCACATCGCCCCACTGCCCCAGCTCATGCCCCTAGGTTCTTGGCACTGGCTGCCACTGCAGAGTGGGGAGCTTTGGCCTGGCACTTCCTTGCTGCAGCTGCCAGTGTTTCCGTCAGATGTACTGGCTACTCCTCCAGAAAGTGTAAATCCCGTGAAGGTTGCACTGCCATTTCCGTGGAGTCCAGGGGATGGGATTTCCAGGCTTTCTATAAGTGCAGAATGCTTTCCCCAACAGTCCTGCCAGACAGTCCAACAGACAAGCAGGCTGTGGCGGACAGCGACAAGGCCATGCTGGTCCCCATGAATAGAACCAGACCTCAGGCTCCAGGACACAATGCTCTATCTTGTCACTCCTGGCTGGTTTGCCTTCTGCAGACCTGACAAAAGTCTGTGCTGCAAGCTGCCAGGGACACAAGCCCTCATTCTCCCTAAAGGCACAGCTGTAGTCTACATATCTGACTCAGCTCCCGACCTAAGAAAACACAGTGCACTTAAAAGGCACCATTTCTGATTACAGCTTTCTTGAAAAAGTATTTTATTAATACACTTGGATGTACAAATGGAAAAGAATAAATACATGATTCTACCTGGTCAGCTGAGTGAGAAATGGTCTATGCTCAGGGTCTACCTCAGTGCTTGGGAAGGAGACCTGGGCTGAATGCGGGGGCTGCTCAGTACACAGCAGTGGGAAGGGGGGTTACTGATGAGTAAGCTCAAGGACCTAGGGATGCCCTGGCCAAGGTTGTGCTAGCTCCTCATCCCGTGGTGCAGCATGGGGCCTAGGAAAGGGTTTCATAAAGCGGTGGTGTGTCTCAGATGTGGCCTTTTGAAGGTCATTTCTGTCACTCCTCAGTTCTATTTCTCAGTCGTGTGCAATGATCCTGGGGGATCCATGTGAGGTGAAGGAGTCACTGGCAGGCTCACGGGGCTGTCCTGAGGCTGCCAGCATTCTGGTGAGAACAGTGCCTGAGTCATTCGCTTCAGGAGGAAACTAGTAGCTGGGGCACCACACAGGTGGAGGGTGAGGCAAAACCTGGCATTTTCTCACCCTGGACGTGCGTGAGATGACCTCAGGAGACAGTCACACCACATCTCAGGAGCCAGCATCCATACCTGAAGGTGTTGCCAGTCACTGGCTATCCTCAGCTGGCTCAGGAGGATGGCTGAAAGGCCTGTGTCAGGACTGACAGATGTTCTCGACTTTTTGGGCTAGCATACGCTACATCTGCGATGGTGACATGGTTTCTCAGGTCCTGAGAGAAGACACGAGTGTGAATCCTGAAGGTGGCAGAGCCTAGACACAGGTAGGTGCTGGCCCATGAACACAAGGGAACACGGGCTTTAGATGTGTCGCCACCCAAGTGGGGGACTCTTCTGGGACCCTGTGACCGAGTGACTGGTGGGTGTTGGATAGGTGGCCCTCAGTAGGCAATCTTCCAGTGCGTGGGCTGCTCGCATGCTTTCTCCTGGTCTCCACAAAACCGGTTGTAGGTCGTCTTGGGGTCCAACCCCAAGATCTCCCTCTCTTCGTGAATCCGAAAAGAGAATGTGGAAACAGACGTGCCTATAAAAAACCTGCAGAGCAACGAGATGTTACCTGTGACCAGCAGTGGGTCCCACCCACCAGAGGCTCTGGAGCCGCAGCACTGACACCTGCCTGGGTCAGCCCAGGCTTCGGCAGCCACTGAGCCTTGCAGATCTCCACCTGGCTGTACAAGGAGCACAAACAACTCTGCGCCCATCTTGACACGCTGCCAGGGGCAGGGACCATGCACATACATGTTGTCATAGCTGAGGGAACCCTTTTTCCAGGGTCTTTCGGATTCCTGGGGTGACAGAGCGATGCAGCCAGCCCTGACTCCTGTACCCTGGCCCTCTGACGGCACTTGGTGACCAACTGGCCTGAGAGAAGTTCTGGAGTGCTACACCACATGACTACCCTGGAACTTGGGGGTTTTAGGGTGGGCTGTGCTGATGCCACGGCCAACTGCAGTCAGCTGTGTGAAGTACCTTCTGGCCTGAGAACTACCGTCAGTTCCCGAGACGGCCATGGCTAGCGGATCCTGGGAAGAAGCCCAGGCAGAGAGAAAGGGCAAGCTCAGAGCCTCCTCGGAGAGCACTAACAGGGTAAGAGACCAGAATGGCCGCTCTCCCCTCGTGCACACCACACGAGCAGTGCCTGGAAGGGGACGGCAGTTAGACCCATGTAGATCAGGAATGAGGCCCGCATGCCTAACCCTGGTGCTGGGAGGGAGTCAGCAGGGACCTCAGAGGCCAGAACACAGCAGAAAAGCAGCGGGCGTGGCGAGGAAAGCAGCAGGCGAGGTGTGCGCACACTCCAAGCACCTCAGCATCTGGAGCCACAAGGAAAGTCACACACTCTGCCTTGTTTCCTGTTCCGCTCAGGATGTTCTCACCTGAGCCCACGCCCTGCGGTTCCAGCTGATGTAGAGCAGAGAGTTGCAAGACCAGCTGCCCTCGGGCAGGCCTCTGGCCCGAGGCAGCCCTGCATATGCACTTCAGTGGCACAAACATACCAAGGGGGCCAGTGCACCTCTCTCGGGCAGACAGAGGAGACCCACAGTTCACAGCAGCGCAGGGAAACCCTGGGCTAGATGTTACAGCTTAGGAAAGCAATGACGCCAGCGGAGAAGGTAGAGGGCCGCAACCACCTGCTCCCACTGCTGAGAACGGGGGCAACAGGGACCCCCGGAAGGGGCAGGCACCTGGCGTGCGCGCAGATCCACTGGTCGATGATGGCAACGCCTCCATCCTTGTATAGCTCCAGCTCCTCCCAGGTGGGCTCAAACCTCACCATTTCCGGTAGCAGCTTCCTCAGTTCTTCCTGTTCTGCGAGGCAAAGAGGAGGCTGCTGACCCTCCGGAATGAAGGAGTACGCTGCCAGGGAGGTCACAGCGAAGGCCTATACCTGGCCACCATTCGGCCAGGGGTAAGAGGCCTGACAAAGTCTGGGCGTAGAACTTCCTACCCTTTCTGATGGCGTCTGTGGCCACGAACACCTTGTCCAGCTGGTGAGCCTTCATGAGGCTGCGGATCTTCTTCACGGCCCCCTCCAGGCTGGGCACATCTTCCCGGTGGCCCCAGATGAAGTCCTTCCTTCTCAGGTGCACTCCGAGGTAGGGGCCGCCTAGCGCTGAGCCCAGTTTGACCTACAGAAGACAGAGATGTGCTGAGAAGACGCTGAACGCAGTTCGCCTAGCTACCTGGCAATGCAGCGGGACAAGCGTGCTCTCTGAAATGTCCCTCCAGGCCCGACTGAGCCTCACATGGAATCTCCTGGGGGAAATGGATGTCTTTTCCAGAAGACTGTGAAGTAACCAATCATCATGAATACTTTATGAGTGAAACAAGAACCTTAAAATGAAATACTAGAAGAAAGAAAAGCTATTTAGTACTTTCTTCTAGGTAAGACCTTCTAAGAAACTGAATTTATTGCTTAATTTATTGCATCTGGAAACAGTCCAGGCCGCCCACAGACTGAACAGGTACGGTGGGGTCCTAACATTTGGCACTCAAGCAGTCAATGGGAAAGACACATTGAGGGAAAAACCTCACACACACAGCAAGAAGATGACAAAGCACGGCCGAAGGACTGGAGGAGGTCCAGGGCAGGCGGGCTGGACCTCTGATGTGCAGAAGTCACAGGAAATGCTGACAGGTACATCTTTCATGGCCTACTTCTGCTTTGGGTCCCCCCCTCCTTCCTTCTTTTTACTTTGTTTTTTTGAGAAAGGGTTTCCTTACAAAGCCCAGGCTGGATCCCACAAGCTTTCTGCTTCCTCCTCTGAACACCAGGGTCATATGTATATGCCACCACGTTGGGCAGTCTGCAGACTTACAATAATGTCCTCGCTTCACTAAAGAGACACCTGTATGAGTCACGTCCCTGACTGCATCAAGACAGGGACTCAGCAGAGCTCGGACCGCAGGGCTCCTGAAGGTCAGATATGAGCGTCACTCATGTCTGGGATGAGGTATTCACAGGACAGGCATGCTAGCTTAAGATATGAGCCTATCCCTGGTTCCTTTTCAAGCAGGAGCAGCATGGCTACCTTCATCCGTGTCCAGTCTTCCTCGGGGGCCATCTTGTCGGCGGCGTCCGTGGAGTTGAGGTGCAGGCTTCTGAACTCGTCCCCCACGGCCCGCAAGTGCTTTGCAAACACCATGCTGCGACGGGTCTGCACGGACAGGGCTGAGCTGAGTGCCACGGGGCCTTGGGATGAATGAGCAGTCACCGCTTCACTCTCTACCACCTGCCCGCCCCTTTCCGCGGGCGCCACTGCCAAGGCTCCTCAGCCCTCCCAGCTGGGGCCTTCGAGACTCCTGTCCCCACCACCAGCCACGGGGCCTCCTGGTTAATCCCTTATAGAGAAAGGCCCACACAGAGCCACTTCAGGGAGGGCCACCCCAGCCAGCCCCAGAGCTGGGCCTGTCTAGAGTGCAAGACTGGCCTGTACCATCTGCCCTCGGCCAGCAGTGCCATGCTGCTGTCTGCCCAGCTCCCGGCTTTACACTTTGTTCAAAACAGGCTTCAGTTTTCCCTGTGACTGTGTCTCTGTTGCGAACCAAGTGCTTTTGGAGGCAGAGCTGCTGCTCAGGTTAGCCGGTGTCCTCAAGCTACTACCGTCAGCCAAGCAGTGTGTTAGGACTTGCTGCACAACGTGTCCCTTTTCCCATCCCAAGGGAGAAGCGGCCAGGGTAGCCCCCCACAGAAGTTGAGAGGGCAAGCCCTGGGCTGCATGCCACCCAAGGCAAGACCACTGTGTTTAGGAACGGAGCACCGTTAGGCGTTGCTCACACCCGGCACCTCAGCGGGTCCTGCAGTGAAAGCAGACAGCTCGCTGTGGGGTGGGGCAAGCCCACGGGACGCAGCCCACCGTTTTCGGTCAGCAAGACTGAAAGCTGCTGCTGACTGTTGAAAGTTTTCAAAACGTGAACACGTGCAGAGAGGCCCCTGTGAGGTACTCACATCCCAGTATTCCCTGCCTCCGTAGTGGTCATGAAGCAGGTTTTCAGCTCGGTCCAACATCACAGACCTGCAGTTGAAGTAAGAGGAAAAAGACTTCAACGGTTCTAAGAGTTGAGGCGACCGCATTTGCACTTTCCGAGAACACAGAATGGCAAAGCCTTCAGCCCCAACAGTGCAAGTCTGCCGGGACACTGAAGGGGAGCATCCAGGGAGTCCTTGCAGAGCTGGAGGCGCAGGAAGGGGACAGAAGGAACCAATGACATTAGCGGAAAGCTTGGCAGTACAGGGACATAACACATGGCCAGGGAGTCTGGTGGACATGCGAGGGTCTGTCACCTGTCACACAGGAGAGCAAGGCACACAGCTGTGGGTTCCAAGAGGAACAAGAACATGCTTGCTCCTGTGACAAAGGCCCACTCGAGGAAGAGGGCCACCCCTTTGGGTCTCCGCATCTCAAGCTTACAGTACCGTCTTGCTCCGACAGAACTGGGGACTGAGAAAGTGAGCATGTCACCAAAGCCTGCCCTCTCACCACTGTCAGGGGGACGTGGAAACTGAAACTCCACAGTGGAACATGGAGGACTCAGGGACACGGAGATGATACAGGGTGCAACAGAAAGCTTTCCACGATAGGCTGATAATTTTTTTTTCCCCCCTCTGTGGTAACAGCTCTGGCTGTCCTGGAACTTGATCTATAGACCAGGCTGTCCTGGAACTCAGAAAGATCCGCCTGCCTCTGGCTTCCCAAGTGCTGGAATTAAAGGTGTGCACCACCACTGCCTGGCTGAGGCTGACAAATTTAACTGTGTGAGAAGTATAAATTGTACCAAAGTGGGTCACAACACGGTCAACAGTGGCAGAGAAACTCTATTGTCCAGGCCCATTGCAACTGGCTGCTGTGACCAGGCCCTGGCTAAGCACAGAGCACTCTGCGGTCAGAACCAGGGCCAGTGAGGCCTTGGAGGTGGCATGGAGTGCCCAGACTAACACGATGCTCACAGCTGGCTGTTAGCGACACAGAGAGCTGAAGGGATAGATGGGCCTTGTGACTTCAGGGATGCCTGTAGCACGTGGCACTCAGGCACTTCCTCCCAGATGTGACGACACAAACCTCACAGGCTCTTATGCCTGCCACGGCTCCATTCCTGGATGGATCCCTTCCTTATGCCTGCTACCAAGGGGAGTAGGGACAGCTGCTCTCATCTACTGCAGCTGCCTGAGTCCAGAAACAGCGTGTGCTGTGTGAGTTCTCCAAAGCCAACCCTCTGCGAAGAAAGGGCTAAAACAGCATGAGGCAGTACTTTCAAAGCCCCAGTGCCAGCGCCCACGAGATGCAACCTTCTAGGCAAGCCCTGAGCCGCCTCCACTGGACACACCATCACCTCTTCCTGGCCCCCCACACTCCCAGCCAGGCTAGGGTCCTCACACACCCCAGAGAGGAATGCAGAAGGAAGCCACCGGCGTGTCCTGCCTCCACCGTCCACAGCTGCCTCTCAGGACACAGGAGGCAGATGACAGTGTAAGGGTAGGGAGGCTTTACTGAGCAAGGAGTTCAGATGAGCGCGGACCATGCTCTCACACCCAGGGTGAGCACAGTAGACAACCCCAGCCTGGACTCTCTCTGGGGTTCTTCTCTGAGGATGCACAGCTCCCTCCAGCCCCTCCTTAGCCTAGTACCACTCTGGGAGACCCCACAGACTGCTGGAGTGCAGCACAGGGAGGGGCACGGTGATGAGCAAAGCATTCCCAGTGGCAGGCCCCGGCACTCACCGAGCGGACGTGTTTTTTAAAAGCACAGGAGCGACGATGGAAGCCGAGCCCTGGACGGACAGGCAGGAGACATTCAGACCCCGTGTTTCTTCATAGCCCCAGAACCAGCCTCTGGAAGACAGAGCCCAGCTGTCTGTCAGCCTGTGTGCGCTCACCCAGGAAGAGATGAGGGGCCTGTGCACACGCAGCGGGGCAGTCCTGCTGACCCCGCCCCACCCCCAACCCGTGCCGATGCTCACACGCTAGCACCGGGGGCAGCCAGTTCTTGTGAGAACTCTGAGAAAACCCACAGGACTCAACATTTCCCAGCTCACTGGCAGGAGGTGGGCATCGGAGAAGGAGGGGACAGAAGCCATGGCTCAGCCAGACGGCCAGGCAGAGACCATAGTGCAATACGTAGGGACCCGTGTTTGAACCCAAAAGAACTGGCTAGATGTAGCGCGCAAGTGACAGAGGGCCTGCTTAGCACTCGAAGGGCCCTAGGTTTGACCCCCGCTCCCCCAGAACCACAAAAATATGAAAAAGAAAGTGAGGTGCTTTAAAAACTGACCTCGTCTCTGTCTAACAATATGAGGTGATCTACAGTAAAGTATACCAGGGCTCAGGGGCATCCGCTCAGGACAGTCCCTGAGAACTGCTTGGAGCCTGTGCCCACGGAGCTACCTGTAATATTCGTGCTTGTCCTGGGAGTAGAGCAGAGGGTCGATGCAGGGCCGCTCGTCCACCTTCTCCTCCCAGGTGCCCTCCTTCCAGCCCTCGGCGTAACCTTGCAGGACGTACACCTGGTCGATAAAGGGCCCACCAGACTCTGAAAGAGACCCAGAGTTCGTGCCACGAAACAGTGACCACAGATGCTGTGCACCGCCTAGGGATGGCTTTCACCGACTTAATGCAAGGTCTCCTGATTCCACAAAGGCTGGGCAAGGCTTCTGAAGCAGGCGTGGAATCAATGGCACAGGCGTGTGGGCCTGGAGGACTCACTGAGGTTGGCTTCTCCCACTCACCTGCTTTTCCCTACTGTAGCCTGATACACTGGAGCAGGCCTACCTTCACCGCTTTTCCTGTACACTGCTTTGCACTGTTCCCACAGCGTATGCTGACCTAACTAGTATGTTCCCCTCCAAAGCTAGTTCCCACCCCTCAAGACCCCCAGCATGTCCTATCTTCATGCCTGCTTCACCACTGACCCCCCCACTGAGAGGAATCCCCGAAAGGTTTGTGTTCCCCTGCCCCTCTGCTACCACCTACATTTTGCCAGAACCACCGGCCATATCCAAAGTACCAATGAGGGTCTGTCCAGAAGAGGGCCCCAGTATGGCAAGCCACAAAGTCAGTTTCTGTGTCTCCAAAACTTACACTGCATGAGGCCTGCCTGTGGCTGATGGACCCAAGGCCCAAGCTAAAGCTGCTCCCCTCCTGCTGACCAAAGCTAGGCTGGCTCCAGCACAGCTTTATCCAGCCAGGCCTGCTCTGTAAGTGAATGAAGCCACCGTCTTCCCAGGAAGCCCATGGCGCTGGCTTCACTGTGGGCTTCCCCAGTCCTACTCCAGCTGCAGGGAGGGCGGTTCAGTGGCAGCAGGGAGGTCCGGCCCTAAGCCTCCAGATGCCACACCAAATGGCAAGGACCCCATCTAGCCCTTTCCCACAGTGAGAACTCCCTCAGCTGTACCCCATAAGGAGGCATGGGCAGAGTCTCCAGGCACCTGAGACTGAGGCTCAGAAAAAAGTCAGGCTATCTTTGACGAGTCCAACACCCTAAAAAAACCACCCACAGCTATTGTTTTCCAAGACCCACAGCAAGTCTGCAAGCTGGGTCAGGAAAGGGGATATTCTATGCACGCGTTTACAATGCTCTGACTTTGCGTTGTCAGCCTGAAAGAAAAAGTAAGAAAAAAAATACTGCTTTGCACTCCCAGTACTGACTTGACTACAGAACACACCCAATAATGATGATATCTGGTAGAGAACCATGTCCTGCAAAATAGATCCTCCTGAGGCAGCAGTCGTGGGCAGGGGTCAGAGGTCATGGTGGAGTAAGGCTCTGATGTACACTACTGCTACCAGCCAGGTTCTAAATGAACCCCTTCCTTCTGCGACCTCCGGTGTAGCAGAAGAAAAGATGTCTTCCACCAAAGGCACAGTCAACTCTAAACACCTCTTGGACTCAGGAAAGCATGACTCCTCTCAAAAGGTGGAAGCAGGGTAAGGCCAAGCAAAATGCCTCTTCACAGAACCTTCGCCATCATGGCGTGACCCCATAAGGACATCGCACACACAGGTATGCGTCTCTCGGTTAAGATGGCCTTTCAGCTGCTTCCTCATCAGCGCCCTGACCATACCTGCCTCCCTAGAGAAACCATGGAAGCAAGTGCTACAGCAGGGCTGAGTGGAAAGTGCCAGCCAGACTGGGTCAGGCCACCTGACAGCCACATCAGAAGAGCCTCCCAGCTTTGATGCCCGCCTCACCTGCAATGAACTGCTCATACTCAATGACTGGGATGTTTTTATTGAGACTCGGAAGATCAAAAAACTCAGACCAGGGGATCCGAACTTGATGGATGTCAGGACTTTGCCAGTGATAGAGACGGCCCCATGGGGGTAGGACAAGCACCCACTCCTCAGTCTTCAGCAGCGTCTTCAGCAAGGACGCCACCCGGATATAGACGTCTCTCCGGAGATTGAAGCCTTCTGGGGGGTTGACATCATACAGAAGGTACCTGAGTTGGGAGCAAGACACGGGCCGTGAGCTGTGAGGACTCTTCACAGAGCTCCCATCCCACTTACAGAGAGAGCATGTGACAATGTGACAATGATCAGCAGAGCTCATGAGTGCAAACCGCAGACAAGCAGTGTCTGACAACTCGGAGTGTCATGGAACCTCAAAGGCCAAGCCTGAGGATAAGTACTATAGCCATTCCCACAGTCTCTAGTCCAAAGATTCCTTCATACCCTGAACAATTACTGAGGCCCCCAAAGGGCTGTTAGTTTATTCAGGGGTGTCAAACCTTTAACAATGAAGCATAGTGTTATCATCAATGACTACAGCGGGCTGCATTCACAGCTATCCTGAGATTGTGTGGCCAATGGACACAGGTTGGACACTTCTGGTTTATGAATTAAATCTATCGACAGTTCCTGTGGGGGAAGCTAAAGCTAGAAGCAGTCATTCATTCGCTTAAAAATAACAATCCCATTATACTGACGAAGATTATTTTAAATGCAAAATGAGCATTTTCAAAATAAAATGAGTGAAGAGGATAGGGTGAAAACACTTTCGATTTCTGAAGATTTACTTTGGGTCTGGCCATCCCTGGGTTCTCAGGTCTGTTTCTGCATTAAGCCTCACTGTGATATCACGGGCCTGGCTGGTTGGCCGTTGTTAAAACTCCAGAGTAAACTGATGACACTTGAGAAAGTCAAATAGTTGATGTAGAATCTCCGTGAAAACGGTTCTAAAACTTTAGGGCCTCGCCAAAGGAAGATTCCTTTCAACGGAATCCCAGGGAGTCTTCACGAACACCGTCCCTGCAGCGGACCCCCTGGTTTAAACTCAAGTTTTGGGAATAGCGGCCGCGGAGGAAGCGCAATCTCCGGTCCACAGGAACTTCTTTGACTTATCACCGCGACTTAAGATGGGACTCGGGATAGGGCGCCTGAGCCGACACCGGGCCAGCCAGCGTGGCCAGAGCCGGTTCCATTTCCCCTCCTGGACCTTCTGGTAGAGACCTCCCGGGAGCAGACGGCCAGCTCAGACCAAGGCCAGCGCGACCTTCGCCACACAGGCTTCTCTCCCACAGCCTGCGTGCGCAGCCCCAGCTCCGCTGCCCCCGCCCCGCCGCTGACCCTGTCCCAGATGCCGGGTCAAGCACGGCGTCGACGTGCTTACCGTCTGCGGGATGCCGCCCCGGACAGGATGTCTGCCGCCGACTGGCCAGGCCAGAATTCCTCTCCTGAAGCGGAGACCGGCCGCCAGGAAGCCGCTGCCAGCAGCAAGCAGACGACGACGCTGAGCGCCGCCATGGCCCCGGCGGCCACGAACTTCCGGCTACCGCGCCCGGCTCCGGAAGAGCGCCTGTCAGCCCGGCCGAGCGCGTCTCCGGTTGCTACGACGACGCGGCGAGGCCCACCGTGTGCACGCGCCTCACGTAGTCGGGAGGTGGGTGTGTGGGCGTGGCCAGGAGGTATGGCCCGGGGCGGGGCGGAGCCCGAGCGCAGTTCCGCTTCCCGCGCCGTCTCCAGTTCAGCTGCGGGCTCCCGGGCTTGGCGTACTTGCAGGTCAGGTACCGGGCCTCATCCGGTACCTGCTGAGCAGCAGGATGCCAGGCATTGCAGTCGCCGGGTCTTGGCGGCGCTGGCCATGGATACTTGTCCTACTTGGCGCTAGATGAGCAAGAAGGAGGACCGCGCACTGGCCTCCTGGAGAGCGGACGGACCCGAGGGCTCTAGCGTGCTGGGAGCGCGGAGCAGTTTTGGGACCGGGTATGGTGGACCCAGTGAGGTGACCGCCGAGCTCTGAACTTCCCTGGAAAGGCCAGTTCGTCCGTGGAGTGACTGTGGCTTTGCTGTTTAAGCTGCATCCTCGCGGGAGTGTCTTGAACTAAGTGTTTGTACCGACCCCATTGAACTGGTGTAATGCCCCGGTGGAGTGAGTGTGGTATTACAGAAGACAAACATACAGATTCCAGGGCAGAGAACCGGAGACTTAAGCAAGGGCTTCTCTGTGAAGTCCTGGCTGTCTTGGAACTCTGTAGACCAGGCTGGATTAAAACTCAGAGATTGACCGGCCTCTGCCTCCCAAGGCACGCAAACTACCACGGTATACTGGAACAGTTGGATATCTGTTTGATAAAAAGAGAGTCTCAGTTGGCCACAAACAAAACCAAAACAACAACAACAAACCCAGAAAGTATAGCATTAAAGAAACAAGTTGAGATTCATCAAGTCTTTGGAAGGCAGAGGGGTAGGAAAAAGAAAAGACCGATCCTGGGAGAAAGCATTCAGAATATAATAATTACTCTCTAACAGGGGAGTTGTATCCAGTCCTAAAACAGACCTTTAAAGTTCAGGAGCACTTCCAGAAGGTATAGATGACCAGTGTGTGTGTGTGTGTGTGTGTGTGTGAGAGAGAGAGAGAGAGAGAGAGAGAGGGAGAGAGAGAGAGAGAGAGAGAGAGAATACACCTGGACATGGGGAAGGCTGGTTCCTATCTGCAGGTCTTGGAAAGTGGACGTTAAAATACTGGGGTGGCAACCTGTTGACTCTGGGGAATACCCCTTTGTGAGGCTGTGGGGCACCTGGGATTCCCACACACTGCCAAGAGGAGTGGCCAGTGGTGTCCTGCTGTGGAGTCAGTTTCTGTTGATGGACAGTTTCTCTTCTGTCCTGGCTGACCCTGGCTGGAGTTGACCTAAGAGCTGCAGCAACAGAGGTAGTCGGGGTGGGGGAGTGTCCCCAAATCATCCCACAGGGAGCCAGTTGGTGTGTCAGTGATGCTACGTGCCAAATGATGAGTGCTGAGGTGCAACATACCCTAAGGCAGAGAGGGTGGGAGGATAGGATGGTCTACCTGTATCCTGGGGGATGGTGTGAGGGCTGGGGGTTGCTACGGACTACTTCGTGTGGAACAAGTTTCGCTCAGTGTTTTGTGCTGTGGCTTGAGTCCAGGCTCGCAGAGAAAGCTGTGAGACCATAAGCCTGCATGTGTGCCTGCACGCCAAAAGAGGGCACCAGATCTCATTATAGATGGTTATGAGCCACCATGTGGTTGCTGGGTATTGAATTCAGGACCTTTAGAAGAACAGCCAGTGCTCTTAACCGCTGAGCCATCTCTCCAGACCAGACACTCTCTTTTAAAAGTTGTCTTAGTTATGATGTCTTATCACAGCAAAAGATAAGTAACTGGGACACTATTTCAGTGTGTTTTCCAGTACCTCCTGGCGTGAGGCAGTTCAGAGTTCCAATCTGGCCTGAGCTGGATTTGAGTACATGGACATCGATTTGCTTTAAAAACTTTTCTTGTTATTTTTGTGAGCAGATGTGGGGCTTTTATTTCAATTTCTAGACTAAGAGGCCAAGAACCTGTAGGTACCCAAATCCAGCTACCTGTAACAGCTCCACTTCAAGGTTCTACCTGGAGGAGCAGCTGATTCTAAGGACAGACACGGCTCTTCAGGTCTGAGTTAGGGCTGTGGGATGCACTTTCCTGCCGCCTGGCACTGGTGTGTTACCAATGACCCACATGGAAACCAGTGCCTCCAAAGCAAGGCCTGCAACCTGGCTGAGCACAGTAGGCAAGCAGGGTAGAGTGGCAGCGGCTCTGCCTCTAACACGTGGCGACCCTGAATCACTGGTTTCGCCCAAGGACCCATCTGATTCACCATGGAGTCTTCCGCCATTACAGTGGGTAGCTCCTGAGACCCGCTGTGTGCTGATAGCCTGGAGGTCATGGGCCTTACTTCACCACCAACAGCATCCACTCCAGAGTCCTGTGATTCTGGGGCAGATGGCTGGCCCTGCCTCATCCATTCAGGAGACCTCTATGCTATGTCTGTTTCTTCCCAGAACAGAGGAGGCGTGTAGAGGTTTTCCATGTTGCTGTGTGCCCGTTTCCTCTCTTTCTTTATGTTCCCTGCCCTCCTCTGTCCTGGGAGTGGATTATTGAGCCCACTGGATTATGCCCTTGAGAAATTTGAATTTTCATTAAGACAAAAAGGCCAGGTGTTGTGGGGGAAACTGAACCCTCCCCCCACTTTTGAGTTCTTAGTCTTGCTAATACAAGTTTTTCAAATAGCCTGGGAAGAAGCTTGAAAACAGTTTTATTGGGGTTAGAGAGAAAAATAACAGGGTAGGTAAGCTTAAAATCTTGGCAGCTTCCCAGAGGAGGGAGATGGGGAAGAGAAAGAGAGAAAACTGTGCTTTCTACGCTGAAGGTTGGCAAGCAGCTACACGCTGGAAAAGGGGGTTGGGGCTTCAAAGAACACAGGACGCCCATGGTGTTAGTAGGGTTTTGACTGGCATTTGGAAAAGATATAAAGAAAAGAGAAAGCATGCTTAGTTCTGGGCCATGAATCTGAGTTCAGAGGTCACCCCAATTTCAAACTCTTGTGTACCAGGGATACATGGTGAGAGACAGAAAAATAAAGACTTATTAAGAAAAAAGTACTCCCAAAACTAGGAGCAGCCTAGGGAGCCAAGGAAGAACCTAAAAAACCCTGGGCCATAAAGCCTGTGCTGCTGGGTAATAGAGCATTTTAGTATTTAGTGATTGATAGGGGAGGGCCCAGCCCATTGTAGGTGGTGCCATCCCTGGGCTGGTGGTCCTGGATTCTATAGGAAAGCAGGCTGAGCAAGCCATGGGGAGGAGCAAGCCAGTAAGCAGCACCCCTCCGTGGCCTCTGCATCAGCTCCTGCCTCCAGGTTCCTGCCCTGTGTGAGTTTCTGTCCCGACTTCCTTCAGTGATGAACAGTGATGGGAAGAGTAAGCCAAATAAACCCTTTCCTCCCCGAGTTGTTTTTTGTTCATAGTGTATCATCACAGCAGTAGTAATCCTAAGACAAGGCCCATTACCCTTTACAGGGCATTCACGTAGCACCTGTCAATCCGTCAGTTCCATTTGTATCTCTCCCTTCTCTGCATTTGTTTTTCTCACGCATCCTCAGTGCCTTAGGTGAAGGCCAGGTGAGGAACTCTGCCAACTAGCTACTTTCATATGTGAACGCTGATGGTTTAGTATATAGTCCTCACCGCCATGCACACTGTGGGGGACTAGAGATACATCTCGGCCTATCACCCTTGATGTCTGTCTTCCGTCCCTGGCATAAGACAGGATGTGGTAGAGCATGCTGTAATCCTAACCTTTGGAGACTGAGGCAGGGGGATCAGAAGTTCAGGGTCACCCTTGGCTGGATAATGAGTTATGGGGCAGCCTGGGGTATGTGAGACCCTGTCTCAAACAAAACAAAACGCGCCTAAGCACACAAACAAGAAAAGGCCCCGGGAACAGCTGAAAGCAGCTTCCTTCTATCCCTGTGGGCAAAAACCACTGGTGAAGGTAACTACTGGCTGGCTGGGGAGCAGGGAGCTCACGGTACCTCACCTCGGCGATGCAACCACCAGAGGGCAAGAGAGCCCTTCTCTGGAAACTCTCGCTGCCACCCAAGGGAAGTTGGGAAATAAGAGCAGGCTTCCCAGGCAATGGGAAGAGTGGTGGTCAGACCAGGGCTGACACCAGAAATAGGGATGCAGGCCACCCAGAGTTGTGCCTAGGGAACCCCAAGATCAGGCCTTGCTCCTCCATGCAGCTGGTGCCTGACCTCTGAGTCACAAAGGTCCCACAAAGACAGGCCTAAGAGCCTCACCAGAGGAGAGAGGGAAGCCCCATTTGGCCCTCAGCTTAGGCAGCTACATCCTGTAGTTCACAGGACCATACTTAGAAACACCCAAAATTTCACACACACACACACACACACACACACACACACACACACACACACACACACACCCTTGGCACCTGAGGCTTCATCTGTCTCCCACAGAGATCAGAAATGTCAATACAAGGACCCCATTCCCTGAGAGAACAGAGTGGGGAGTCCATAGGAACAGGTCCCAGGCTGGACCCCTGTGGAAGCTGGGGCTCTTCAGTCAGGGAACAAGTGGGGAGGGGCACAGAAAGTACCTGGCTTCCTGCCATGCTTGGTGCCAGCCATACAGCCATGGTACCATGTTGAAGCCATGTGTGCAGACACCCGACAGGGACTACAGTAGGGCCAGACTGGTAGCCATCCAGGGCCAACCACAAGAAGGTAAAGACAGAAGGGTGGGAAGGCACCTTAGGAACTCCATTATAGCCCTTTAGCGGGACCACACCACAGCTATGAAGGAGGTCAAGGGCTGAACCACGGCCCACAGAGACAGGTCAGCTTCCAGCCACTGACAGGAGCCAGGTGGTGGGAACAGCAGCCTGGCCACGGAGTCCAGACACTGGGAACTGGTGTCTGGGGGCACAGGCATGCACACAGCAGCCCTGATTTTTCTGTTTACCACCAAGTCCGTTACCAGGATTCACGTGTTGAAATTTGCGGCTT